GGGGGGGGTCAACAAGCTATAAGGATGCAAGCCAATCTCCAATAAACCCAGAAGTAACAAATTCAACTGATACAGCTCAATACATAGTAAAGTAAGGAAGCAAACTTGCCATTCAATATGACAAAATCGCATATCTGCAGGTGAGCTCATTCACATGGATAGTTTTCATTTGACCTATGAAATAGCATGAGGTTGCACATCAAGGAATACAAGACGAACATGAATAAATCAGGCATACGAGAGATAAGGAGGATACAACATCCTCATTCAACGCAATGAAGATATTAGCTATTATTTGCGCCTGGTACCGTTAATTTGTAGAGTGCAAAGCCTCCTCTGTGGCAGCCGGGCATTTTAGAAGCCATGTTCTCCAAATCACTCTGACAAAAAAAGAAACAGTATGAATTTGACAATTGTAACTTTGTAAGTCATAGATAAACTGTTTAAAGCAATATGAACCTTTCTTTTATGGATGAAGAAGCAAAACTACCTCTCGTACTACTTTTAGCAACACATACTTAAACAACAGATCATTGCCAAATAAAATACTCCCTCCGTTCCAATTTATGTGAACCTATTTCTTTTTTGATCCGTTCCAAAAAGAATGACCTTTTTCTAAATTTGGAAACAATTTAACTTAAACTTACAATTCTACCCTTAATGAGAAAGCTTTTATAACCACACAAATACTCTGGGCCCCTTTTTGAGTTGTTTAGGACCACAAATTACAAAAGTCTTCATTTTCTTAAACTCCGTGCCCAGTCAAACAGGTTCACATAAATTGGAACGGAGGGAGTATACACCTACCATTAGCAGTCTTGAAATGGTGATGCCCATAATTTCCAACAGATTAAGAGTAACAAATGCAAGAAAGGAAAGAACTCAAAAAATAAAATGTAGTCCAGCACATGAACAAAAGCCTTAAAATGTTCAAACTCAATCTTCACATGACAAGTACAAACGCTAACTTTAGCTGCTAAATGGTCCCAGGTAGGACAGAAAGGAGAAACCTCTAAGGTTTGATTTTCTGCAATTTCAAGCTGAAACGGATAGCGGATTATTTGGCTAAAAGGATCTCATCAACTTTAAGCGTCCCAGGTAGGACAGAAAGGAGATACCTCTAAGGTTTGATTTTCTGCAATTTCAAGCTGAAATGGATAGCGGATTATTTGGCTAAAAGGATCTCATCAACTTTAAGCGTTTCAGTGATACTCAGAATAAGAATATGCCAGGAACAAGCATCACTGATTCTGTGAAGCTGCAAGGCAGAACCAGATGACAGTTTTGCAATTATCGCTTTCTATTACTCCCAGGCACATCAGCTAGTGCTATAGTTGACTTGCATCATGCAACTCATAATATACAAAAGATTCTGAGAAAAATATAGACAGAACTCTAATTAATTAGAAAGAAGCATAACATGATTTAAAGACACGACATTTTCCTGATTACAAAGATTCAGTACACCAACTCAGAAATAAACTTCCTTGTAGCATTAGTGTATTTCTTAAGATTGAAAACAGAAAATCCCAACAAAATTTGGATGAATCAGACATTTTCAGAATGTTATATGTACTACAGGAGCTCCGTATGGTTGCAAAGATGACGCTGATGCTAAAAATTTCCAGAAGGAATCTTGAAGAGAACAGATAATGCAAAATTAAATATTAAGTTCAGACTCAAAATTTAACCGACAAGCTTCAATTGGCTCCAATTTTAACTAATTCCTGTAACACTTACGTTCCTTGTTACAGCAATTTCAGTTACATTAAATTGTTAGCATTGTGTGTTAGATCACAACCTCATGTTATAGATGGTCCTTTTCCCTCCACATGGGTCTCCCGCTAAGCTAAGCTATAGATTCCACAGAGCTCAGCAAAAGTGGATCCATACAGCAGTTGAGCAAAAATTAATAGATAAGACAAGTCAATAGAACTACTTTAACAATTTGTAAAACTAACCATTGAAACAGCATAAAGCTGAGTTGACTCGAAGCCATCCTGTGCGCTAGAATACAATTGCTGAATTTCATCAGACTGAAGATTGCATTTGATGACGAAAAAAGCAGTTGGCCTAACATTCAATACTCTTCGGGATATACCAATAAAGATGGGGCTGGACTGATATAACATCAAAGATAAAGAATAAAGAACAAGAGTTAGGTGGCTTCTACAAATATGAATCCTAAAATGATGCAATCTTATCAGAAAGGAAACAACAATCTAAGGGTGCATGTAAAAACAGCCCCCTCAAGAATTGCAGACAGCCATATTCATAATTAGTCACAAGAACAATGCGTTACTCGAAATACACGGTCATATTTTCCTATTAGGGCCACAAAAGGAAAAAAGAAGAAAAAAACAAAAAGAATTCTATGTACAGTTAAATGACTTTTGTATACGACAAATCGACAACACAACAAGCATGATAATTCTCAAGATTCGACGTAATTGTGCTATTTGGTATAAAAATCGCAGAACGAAAATCAGTCTAAGCCCTGATACAAGGTTGATTAAACATTATATTAATCCAGTCTGTGCTATCGCTTATCAAGGTCCTTCTGCTCCTTCCAGATTACAAACTTGACGCATTTCACTTGTTTGCTACCCACAACATTGAACATACAGGAATAATATACTTACACAGAGCAGTGAGAAGTGGAAAGTTTAGATAGGAGCTGACAATGAACTCAATCATCATCCTCACAAATTGCAGAGACCAGAAAAAGTCACATACCAGCCCCCCACCCCCACCCCCAACTAAAAAAATGAACAGGGAAAAGCAAATTACAGAGAAGAGAGAGAAAAAGAAAGAGAAATTAAAGCACTCTCCTTCCTCTCAATTTTGTGGTGTTAATTTCTATAACAAATTGGGTTTGGAAAGGCTGTAGAAGAAAGAAAGAAGGCGATTAGAGTAACACAAATCACCACTTACAAGGCTATCTGCAGGAGCTCCAATTTCTTCAACAACTTCACGGACAATGCTGTCAAACATTTCCTGAGAAACTTTGCTGTTAATTGTGCGACATTGATTCAGCTCTTGGAAGCCGTCATGGGAGATTATTCCAACTTCTTGGGGCTGTTAAAAGCATAAATACAATCATGCCATGCATTGCTTATTATTCGGACATATTTGGGCAGTGAAGTAACAAAGATTCCACAGCTTAATCTTGATGCAAAAGAAGAGTACTTTGCATGAAAGCAGTCACACATTCAAAATCCCCTAGGTGATCTTCTAATTAAATAAACCTAAAAAAAGCTTACAATTGCAGAAAGCAATGTCAGATAAGGTCACACAAATTGGTAGTTACATTATAAGCAGGTGAATTTAATGAAATATATAATAACAAGTTACTCAACTTAAAAACACTGTTTAGCTAAAAGTCTAAGGGGTCGTTTGGTAGGGTGTATAAGAATAATGCTGAACAGTGTATTAGTAATGCAAGGATTATTAATGCATGGGTTAGTAATGCAAGCATTAGTTATGCAGAGATTATTTTTTATACATGTTTGGTGTGGTGTATTAAAAATTAAAATGCATTGCATAATTTTTAAATACATTAGTTGTTTACAAAAATACCCTCTATATTCTTTAGCTTTAAGGGACTTTAAGGACAATTTTGTCTTTAATCATGCTAATGCATGCATTAATAGCCTTGGTATTACTAATACCATGGTTTTCTATGCATTAGCTATACATAGGATAATACCAAATAGGGTTTATAACGAATGCTTGTATTAGTTATACATAGGTTGAAAAAGCGTACCAAACAAGGTTTTACTAATACACAAAGCTAATGCATGCATTATTTTCTCTAATGCACTCTACCAAATTACCTCTAAATGGTGAACACCGCTAAATACCAATTAACAAACGGAAATATGACAATTACTTTGTGCTGCCATAGCTCACACATTATTCAATATGAAATGTTTTGATTAGCTTGTTGGGTTACAACCATTTTTACCTCTCCCATTTTGAGTTGCGAAAGCTTATATTTATCAGAATTTTGCTGCCATTATCTCAAAGGTGTCCTTACAACATGAGATGAGATACCTCTGGATGGCCTCCAGGAAAAACAAAATATCCAGGGAATTCTCCAACTTTATTACTTCTCTGAAGCACAAGTATTTTCTTGTCAGAAGTCTCCACAATTGCACCATTACCCAGAGGACTTGATGTGTGCTGACACTGTATGCAATCATCTGCAGAAAACCAAGTCACATCTTTTAGCACAAAAGAACTGTAGTCTAGCGAGCTGGAATATCAGTCGGAATTATTTTCATCCTTTTTCATATACTTGAAGTGCCTGCTCTGTGCAATGTTATATGCACTTATGCAGTTCTGCATCACATAAGAACCTTGTAACATATCACCTCCTAGAATTCTTAAGACATCAAATTAGCTACAGACCTTATGTTGAAACCCAAAAGAGTATAGAAAAGGAAACTAAAAGAATTAAGAAATATATTGCATTTTTTTTTTTTTTTGATAAGGTATTGCAGTTTATGATAGCAGATACATTATTCCTCCCCTCCCTCTTTGCTATACTCTTTTGTAATTTTATGCATCTTCTTGATGCCAGCAATGGTATCAATTACTTCATCAAAAAAAAAAAGAAATGATAGCAGATACATTAGAGATATGCAGGGTACAGTCCTTTCCTTCGGAAGAAGCAACTCAATAAACAATCGCATTTCAATTTCATGGCAGTTTACCTTCAGATTGAACAAGATATCTTTCCCACATAGGACTTAAATTTGTTCCCACAAATGTCCTGAGTAGAAAAGCGCAAGTGTAAGAATATCAGTTTATTTCCTAATTTGTTCCCTATTTTTTGCTCTTCTTATCGGGTAAATGCATGGGCAAAATTGAAGTGTTGACGGCACATTGCAGGCATATACAAATTCTCATGTTTCACCCAAGATTTTAGCGACACAAATAAAGAACAGTTGTTTAATAATTTACCAGTTCGACATGCTGATATAAGTTTGGGACAGTAACATTAGCCTGTCCAAATTGCACTGGACGGATATATGTTTTCCGTTACATGCACATCGAATGGAAAAACATGTAGAATAAAGGAAGGCAGTAAGGAAGAAGATGAAAGATAGAGAAGGACCTATAATCTGTCAGACCAAGCTGAAGGGAAACATGAGGCTGTTGCTTGGGATCATTTCCTACATTGAAAGTGTATCCTCCATACTGTAAAAGTATCAGTATATTTAACATTCCTTTTTCTTTTTTTTTTGAGAAGGAAATAACATAAAAGATATGCAGCTTCTATGCGTATATCATATTTGGGTGTATCTGATAAACTATAAATGACTAACTAAACTCTCTTATCAGTAATGGAGCTGCAACTGTGGCCATCAAAGTGACAACACTACATTGTCAAAATTCTAGACTGAACAGATATAGCCAAACTATCTATGTTTCAATATAAAAATTGAATGATAAATGCAATGAAAGAAGAGTGCAGCATACCCTAAACTTCGTCCCATTGTAAAGTGATGAACTTTGCTGAACTCTTGCATCCCATATCTAACAACATGACAACACGTTACACCAATCAAAAGATTCAGAACAAATTCCTGTATTGCCCCAAGCGAGTAATTATAGCTTTTTGATCTATCAGCCTAAACATACAGACAATTACCTAGAAAATTAGAGTTTGGTATTTGGTTTTTTAATCAAGTGTGATCCTCACCATCCACAAAAGAAACAGCGTTATAGCATAATATTAATTCTGCTTCATTATACACAAAACCATTACTATTTAGAAATCAAACATTTTTTCTCAGACTATGATTTTTTCAAATGTTCTCTAAACATTTCTAATTACAAGATTGTCATTTAAAGTACTTTACATTTAATTGCTAAAAGAAAGAGAATTAGAAACAAAACCTCGGAAATGGAGTGCTCCAAAATAGGATCGGGATGGGGAATCCTGTCGTATGCTTCATCGAAAACAACTGACACCTTTTACCCAAAGTACATTCAGATTACAAAAAAGAGCATAATAAATATGTAGAAAACGAAGAGAGAAAACAGACAATGAGCAAATTAAGTAAGTAACCTGTGAAGGAGAGAGACCAGAAGGACATGAGAGCAGCAGCTTGAATTCGTGACCGTCGTCGCAGCTGATTTTCTCCTCCATTTCTTCTACACACACACACACAGTGAAGATTGATCAAATTACGGTGAAATTGTATGAGAAGATGAAGCTAGGTGCTCGAGTAAGAATTTGGATTCCATATTTAATGGGCCTGGACCGGATATAGTTCGAGATAGACTGTAATCCATATTATTTGGGCCTGCTTTCAAGCCTTTCACACCTGGGCGTCAAAATAGCACGGTATAGCCAGTTTTCGGACTGGTATATCAAAGATAGCCAGCGTTTACTAGGTCAATGAAAAATAGCCACTATTTTGCTGCAATAAAGACCGGTCCAGCATAATATACTGGAGTTCGGTGCACCTGTGTATGACCTCCAGCATATTATGCTGCACCGACATACTTTGCTGGCTCCAGTATAATATACTGGAGACTGGAGCACCGGTGCTCCAAACTCCAGTATATTATGCTGGACCGGCATACTTGCTGGAACTCCAGTATATTATGCTGGAGTTCTAGTGTAATTATGCTGAAACTCCATCATATTATGTTGGAGTTCCAGCATACTTATCCCGGAACTCCAGTATAATATGCTGGAGTTCAAGTATATTTATGCTGGAACTCCAGCATAATATACTGGCGTATTTTCTGGAGTTTTGAACAGTGTTTTCGCTCAGATTTATCTTTACATGAAAAGTGACTAAATTTCAATTACTTTTGAAACTGGTCTATTTTTGAACGACCAGTTGTAAATCTGGCTATTTTGGAATTTCACCTTACAAATGTAGAAATGACACCAACATTAGTCGTTTTGCTCAAACTTCAAGATTGTGTCGAAAATTGTGTCAAGAAGTTCGAGTCTTTTGTCCTGAATTTTAAATTAACAGTTCATAAATTTAGGACACTTAGTCCTGAATTTCAAATTAGCAGCTCAAAAATTCAGGATACAAAAACTCAAGATACTTAGGCCTGAAGTTTGGACAAATTGGCTAATCTTTAAATATATTGTAAATTATAAATATATTTAAATAGTAAGCTTAAAAGTGGCTATTGGTGCACTTTACCCGTTGCCAATAGGATGATTTGCACAAATAGGATCATTCGTTGCCACCTTTTAGATTTTGACCCCGAATCTTTAGAAAATAGTCTTCCTAAAAGAATTTGGAAGCATGCTCCTTCATAGTAGATTTTTGGTTAAAAATTCCAGTGATCACCATAACCTGCTTATGTTGATCATTAAAATTGCTGGTGCATCCTAGTAATCACCATAATATGCTTATGGTGACCAAATCCTAACACAAGGGGTACTAAACTGACGTATTCTTTAACAGGGTCAAATAATAAAGAAGGTCACTCCGTGCAAATTCTTGTTTCAAATGAGTAGGATTTATATTATAATTTTGACAAATTCTTTAAGCATGTACAAATTTAAAAAAATTCTGCACCAAAAAACATACACTTTCATTAAATATCAAATTATTATTATTTGATTATGCAAAAGGGGAAAATTGTTTGACTTTTTGGGTGTGTTTGGTACGAAGGAAAATATTTTTCGGAAAATGTTTTCCAATTTTTCCATGTTTGGTTGGCTTAATTACTTTAAAAAATATTCCATATGAACTCATTTTCTTCCAATCGGACGAAAATGTTTTCCCTATCAAGAGAAGGAAAATATTTTCCAAAACTCTTTTTCAACCTTCCCCGCCCTATTTCCCCTCCCCACCAACCCACCCCCTCCCACCCTACCCACCACCACCCCAACCCCCGCCCCACCACCACCCTTGCCCTTCACCCCCATCCTAAATAAAAATATTATTAATAGTACTTCCTCCGTTTCAATTTATGTGAACATATTTTAATTTTTAGTCCGTGCCAAAAAGAATGACCCATTCCTTATTTGAAAACAATTTACCTTTATGCAATGATTTATAGCCATTCAATATATATGTGTTTAGTTTTACGCTACAAGTTCAAAAGTCTTCTCTCATTTCTTAAACTCCGTACCCAATCAAATGGGTTCACATAAATTGAAACAGAGGGAGTACTTTTTTTCATGTTATAGATAGATTTTTTTTTTCATTTCAACAAATGAGTATTTTCTTTCATGATATAAAAATTTTTTTTTTTTTATTTTAACAAAAAAAGTACTTTCTTTTCATGATATAGAAAAAGTATTTTCTTTCATTTCAACAAAATGAGTATTTTCTTTTCATGATTTAGAAAAAGTATTTTGTTTCATTTCAACAAAATGAGTATTTTCTTTTCATGATTTAGAAAAAGTATTTTCATTTATTTCAATAAAATAATTACTTTATTTTCATATTGTAGAAAGAGTACTTTCTTTTTCAACCAAAAAAATAGTATTTTTTTTATAGTTATGGATCATAAATTACAACGTTGTTTTATGTAAAAAAAAGTAGAGCAGCACATTAGTTACTTTGGGTTTGTGTGAATTTTACAAGAATAATTAAATTGTTGAAGAAAATAGAGGTTGGGTATTTGGGGGAGGGGAAGGGAGCAAGGAAACAATGGGGACTTGGGGGAGGTGGTGAGGAGAGTAACATAAAAAATATATTTTCTACTCTCTAACCAAATACTATAAAATATTTTCCAGAAAAAGTTTTTCACTCACCAACCAAACAAGGAAAAATAAATGATAAAACCACTCATTCTCCATGAAAATATTTTCTAGGAAAACATTTTCCTTCATACCAAGTACACCCTTTAATTCTGAAATTTGCAAAAATAAATAAATATGAATTGCATTTCTAAGAAAATTCAATACTTGATGTAAGTTTGTCGAACTGTTATTAGGCAACTTAATTAAGATGAAAGAAGTGGTACAATATGGAATTATTAACAAGTCTTGAAAACTACAAATTGATGTTCTAACTAATAGCCAGTTGGTCAAGCTTCTCTAAAGTCAAAAGTAATATTTTTTTTAAAATTGAAGTGTTTGGTCAAGTTTTTGGAAGAAAAAAAAGTGATTTTGAGTAGAAGTAGGAGCAGTTTTAGAGAAGCAGAAAAAGTAATTTTTTTCCAAAAATACTTTTTTGAAAAGCACTTTTGAAAAAGATACTTTTTAAAAATACTTTTTAAAAGCTTAGTCAAACACTAATTATTGCTTAGAAGTGCTTTTCAAATTAATTGGCCAAACACCAATTATTTTTCACCAAAAGTATTTTTAAAAGAAGTATTTTTGAGAAAAGCATTTTTTAAAATAAACTGATTTTTGAAGCATGGCCAAACATGCCATAAGACTTTCTAGCTTCTACTGAATTCTTTCTCAGAAGATGCTGACTTTCACATGAATTTTTAAAGCTTCTGACAATTGTACTAAGACAATACAAGTAAAAGGTCCAATACATGATTATGACTTTTCAAAAGCAAAATCAATAAATTAGAGGGTCTTTCACCAGTAATTGCACTAGTTCTATACGGTAAAAATTTACTCGTACCGGGTGTTTATACCAAACCAATAGATATATGATACATGTCTTGCATATGGACTTCAATCATTTAACCATGGTAAATTACATGCATTCTCATCTAATTAAATTAATTAACCATAGTGAATTAATATAGTTTGGTGTAAACACGCGGTGTGGGTAAGTATTTACCAGTTCTATACCACTAATATAAGGGACCCGGCCCCACTTTTTATGCCCATAAATACCATAAGAACAGGTTGTATAATGCCAACTTCTGGAACAACTACACATTTCCAACATTTTTTGCATAATAATCCATAAGATTCTAAAAATAGTCTCAAGCAACGACTATTAATCTTCTTGGTGACTCTTTTTATCATAAAAATATATAGTGCTCCGGCAATTATTCTTTGTTGAAGTAAGACATTATTTATGTTTGAGTTTACCTTTTATAGTTGACAATGAAAAGTAAATTTATGCTATCAAGATACTTAAATATATTTATTTCGTCACATAAAATGGAGACGGTATTTACCTAGGCACAAAGTTTAATATAAGTTTCATGAGTCCGGAACCTAAATATTGTGTTTTTGGACTCAAAGTACATTAATAGGTGTAGACAAAAAAATTATATATCTATATATAGCGTATAAATAGAAGACGCTATACCTTAACGGTAACTTTTTCCGTTAAGGTATAGCATCTTGTTTTTAGACGCTATGCTGACTGACCATTTGACGTGACAGCATAGCGTGTTGATTTTATACGCTATACATAGCATTTAAAAAAAATGCTATATCTTGATTATGGACCCACCAATAATTTAACTGACATAACAGTAATTTAAATTAGTATAGCGTCTATTTAAAGAACGCTATACGTCAAAAAATTTCCACTTCCCGGGCTAGCCATTTCCTATATATAGTGGTTAGGATTTTAGGAAAATTTGTTCCCAAAAAATTCCAACTCCCATTCAATATTTTCTTGTTGTTAAATTCTTAAGCATTTTCTCTGTAATGTCTGAACAGCGTAGAATAAGAGTTTCATTATATTGGGGGGGTGAGGTTGTGATGGAGAATAACTCTGTGAGGTATAGTTTATCTCCACAGGGTCATGTTAAATTACCACTTACAATGGAGTACGATAAATTGATATCGTTGTTATGCAAAAAAATGGGTGTGAGGAAACGTTCAGTGATACTCAAAGTAACCGAAAGATATCTGCATTCCGTCACTTCGCAAGGGGCTGCTTTTTACTCGGAGTTAAACATCTACGATGATGAAAGTTTGAGGAATTTTCTGAGGACTCCGGATGAATACCGGGAATATCTTGTAATCAAAATGCTGGATATGTACGTCAAGGTCGAAGAAGTTCCAAACAATGAGGTTGCGGGACAGGTTCCGGATAACCCCCAGTCATCGGGTGGTTATTCTGGAGGAGTTTTTGCCGGACAGGTTTCGGATGAAAGAGTTTTCCTTGACTTAAACTTATCCCCGCCTGCTTTACATAATTCACAAGACGAGTTGTAAGCTTCAATTTTCCTTTGTGTTTACGATGTACATTTTTGTTGAATTGAATTTGTATTAACGCTCATATATTTAAAAGGGGGTACAGGCCGGGTACGAATTTTACAAATTATGAACCCAAGCACATTTTTGGTGTGTTGGATCATGGTGGTCCATC